GGACGCAAACCAAGTGCGAGGACCACAACCAGATGTCCGACTCGATTGCCGCTCAGCTCTTCCCGAAACTCAATGGACATCAAAACCAATTGCTTTATCTCATACTCACCGAGAAATGCGAGTAATTCTTCACAAATGTCATGCCTTTCACACAAATCCTATTTATTGTATGCAATGTTTGTTATAAATATTATGTAAATGTTGTCTTTATTTTGTAAAATTAAATTCATTGTAAAATATTTGAAATCTTGTAATTCATTTCAGATATTCTTTACAATAGATCTGTGAGTTTGTGATAATTCTTAAGTTATCATATATCGTATTCATTGCAAAATTGTGGTTACAGTTAAATAAATCAGTTGTCATAAATACTATACAAAACTATTTATACATAATTTTCACTGTTTACAGTGTTTAGTAATTAAATCATGAAAATTAAAAGTAAATTTAAAGTATCCTAAATCTATTTAAAGTTTTAAACTGTTTCTTAAATTATTTCTATTGAATGCAATTCAAGAATATTCTATGCATTGGTGTCAACATTATTTGCCGTCATTTATGCAAAAATGATTACATTTTGAGAGAGCGTTCGATAAGACATACTATGAATGGGAATGAATGGGAATATTGCAGTGAATTGCCATTCAGTACAACACGAGTGTAGGGATTGTGCGGAACATTGTGTCCAATTGTAGGCACTATTGAGACCTAAGAGTCCGGCAAACAGTCACACATTGTGATCGTCACGTCATCTCTTCATAAGTCTTGAGCCGATTGTCTCATTGCAGACCTGTTTGTGGACACAAATCTCGATTACAAGACACACCAAAAGGTAAATGAAAAGCCATTGACTGATTGATTGTGACAACTGATGGTCTCATTGATGTGTTGATAGCGCGAAGACATGGCAAATGTGGTGCAAGTGATGGTCCGCTTCTACGAGGAATACTCGGCGAAGACATCGCAGCGCCTGAAGCTAATCGACGCCTACCTGTTGTACATCCTGTTGACGGGAGTGATCCAGTTCTTGTACTGCTGTCTTGTGGGCACATTTCC